GGGTTCAAAAAAGTGAAAGCCGCTTACAACTCCCTGTAACGCCGAATTAGAGCGCAGCTCTTGAGGAGGAGGAGGGAAGGGCGCTGGGGGGGGGGGGGGGGGTTAGACTAACCAGGGGGGGGGGGTCACGTGACCTTGGGGGTCACGTGACCCCCAATGCCGATGATGTCATCACTGACGTCACTGATGATGTCATCAGTGACGATGAAGATGCGGGTACCGATGACGTCATTAGTGACGTCACTGATGACTTCACCAGTGATGATGACGATGACGATGCGAATGTCCGTGACGTCATCAGTGATGATGACGATGCGGATGCCGGTGACGACATCAGTGACGTCACTGATGACGTCATCAGTGATGATGACGATGACGATGCGGATGTCGGTAACGTCACCGGCATCCACATCGTCATCGTCGTCATCACTGATGACGCCACCGGCATCCACATCGTCATCGTCATCATCACTGATGACGTCACCGGCATCCGCATCGTCATCGTCATCATCACTGATGACGTCACCGGCATCCACATTGTCATCGTCATCATCACTGATGACGTCACCGGCATCCACATAGTCATCGTCACTGATGATATTCGATAATTTAGATCACTCCGGTTTACAAAGAGATTTATACAACATATTTACAGTCTAGACATATGGAGGGCTCTTGAAGGTTGATGTTGCATCGATCAACGGTTCCAACTAGCTCTGCTCGCGCCGGTGGCCTCACTTCATCTTCTTCTTAGCACATGCTCCTTGGTCTTCTTTTCCTGTGAGATGTGTAGTCGGGCGCGTATCCACATTTAGCGAGAAATGTCCTCAATATTTAATATCCTCCCCGCCGAATGAGCATTGCTCATTCGTTATGAGCTTCCAGTTGATGTAACAGTTGAATGGGACGTCTAATCGTTGTTCCTCCTGACAAACGGACCACGCAGGATCGGACGTGGCCGTCTCGTCCCGGGAACACTTGCACGACGCGGCCAGTTTTCCAGGTTTGTCGCGGATGGAAGTCGTCATGCAGTAGCACCAAGTCATTCACCCGTAAATTACTCGAGGCTGCCGGTGTGCTGTGATGAAATGACCTTAAGGTACAGAGATATTCCTGGCGCCAGCGCTTCCATAGGGTGGTCGATAGCATCTCACGGTACTTCCAACGGCGAGTTAGATCGTTGGCTGATGACAACATTGGCTCTCCTCCACGAGTTGGCAAAGAAGTCAGTCGTTTACCGACAAGGAAATGTGCGGGTGTCAATGGTTCTGGTTCGTTCGGGTCAGAGGAGATGGAGGTCAAAGGTCGAGAATTAATTACAGCCTCTATCTCCGTCAATATGGTGCTCAGCTCTTCATAAGTTACGTAACTGCACCCCAGAACCTTTTTCAGAGGGGTCTTAACTGATCGAACCATTCGCTCCCAAAACCCGCCCCACCAAGCCGCTCGTGGAGCGATGAATTTCCAGTTGATGCCTTGACTGGACAGGTAGTTGAGTGACTCCTGTTCTCTCATTGTTTTCCATATCTTTCTGAATTCAGCAGACGCTCGGTGGAAAGTCTGTGCATTATCAGAGTAGATCGTGTGGCATAGTCCGCGACGGGCCACAAAGCGACGAAATGCCAAAAGGAAACTAGCTGTAGACAAGTCGCTCACCACCTCCAGATGTATTGCTCTAGTGACTGCGCAGGTCAGTAGCAGAATGTATGATTTCTTTATCTTGCCTTCGTCCTTGGTGAGGACAGGTCCGGCGAAGTCGAGCCCCGTGACTGCAAAAGGGTCCGCCTCCAACACTCGGTCTCGTGGAAGCGGCGCGACTGGTTCAGTCGCACTCTTGCTGCTCATCCTTCTGCAGACAAGACAACGGCTCAAGGCCTTCTTAACTACTTGTCGAGCTCGTATAATCCAGAACGTCTCACGCAGCTGAGTTAGAGTGTCCATGCACCCTGCATGTAGCAGCCGTCGATGTGTGCTAAAAATCAGTAGTTCCACAAAGTGGTGAGTCGAAGGCAAAACGACAGGATGTGCCGTCTCATAACCGAGGTCTGAATGTTGTAGGCGTCCTCTCAGTCGTAGCAGCCCTCTGTCATCTATAAATACATTCAAAGTGCGCAGGTCTGACGAGCCACTGCACTGTTCGCCTCGTTCTAGTTGGTTTAGTTCATCCTCAAAGGCTTCCCTTTGAACTTGAAGGAGCAGCCTAAGACGTGCCTCCCTTATCTCTTCAGGTTTGAGTGGACCCTGGAAATTCTCTTTCGTGTGTCTACAATTATTGACAAAACGTAGCACCCAAGCAGTGACCCGTTGTAGGCGATTCAATTCTCCAAACTTTCCGATGTTTACCACAGGCGTACAGGAGCTCGTAGCAGTGTGGCTCACAGTTAGTTCTGAAGTTCTTCTTTCTTCATTGGCTGCGGTATCTTGGCTACCAATGGGCATAGTAGGCCAACATGTGGGTGACTCTGCCAGCCACTTTGGTCCTTTCCACCATAGGTCACACTTCTGTAGACAGTCCGGAGGGACGCCCCTGGTTAGTAAATCCGCCGGGTTCTCAGCTCCAGGGCAGTGTCTCCAGTTACTGGGATCTGTCCTTTGTTGAATCTCCATAACTCGGTTTGCCACGAATGGTTTCCATTGAGTAGCCAGGCCCTTTACCCAGTGTAGAGCAATCATTGAGTCTGTCCACAGCGTCACTTCTGAGAGATCCGACTTAAAAACTCCCTTAAAGTAGGCACAAAGTCGAGCGCCCAGCAACGCTCCCATCAGTTCCAGTCTCGGTAGAGTCAAGGTCTTTACTGGCGCAACGCGCGTCTTGGCCATAACGAGGGTCACTGTCGTCTGGTTATCACAGTCACTACGCAAATACGCGACTGTCCCATATGCCTGGGGGCTAGCGTCCGTGAAGACATGCAGCTCAGTTCGACCGCCGTATGCAGCATAGCGACGAGGGATCGAAATGTCCTCGAGATGATGCAGAGCTTTTATCCAGTTGCTCCATCTCAGACTTACGCTTGCAGGTAGCGGAGTGTCCCAGTCCAGCCCAAGTGCCCAAAGTTCTTGAAATAACATCTTGGCTGTTATCGTCACTGGGCTGAGGAGGCCGAGGGGGTCGAAAATTCTCGCTGATGCTTGCAGTACAAAGCGTTTTGTGTCACGGTTGATTGTCAGAAGCTCCAACGTGCTTTCTAAAGAGTATTTAAGCTCGTCCCTCTCTCTATTCCACTTAAGTCCCAAAACACGCGTCACACCTGACCTCGGTGTGGGAGTATCACAGGAGAGGCTTCCAACCCCATCTTCGTCAAATCGTTGTTGCAATGTCTCGCTGTTGGAACTCCACTTCCTGAGCTTCATTCCTGCTGCGCTCAATATTTGCTGGGCTTCCTTGTAGAAGTTTGTAGCTTCTTCAAGCGTTTCAGTGCCAGCAATCAAGTCGTCCACGTAAAGGCATTCGTCCAGTACTTTTGCAGTCTCAGACAAGTCGTCTGAGACGTTGGCCAGGTGGTGCTTGATAGTCGCTGCCAGCATGAAAGGGCTGCTCGTTGCACCAAATGGGACGCGCGTCATGCGCCATGCTTCAATCTCCGAACTTGTGAAGTCTTCTGTAGGGGAACGTGCGTACCACAAAAAGCGAAGGGCATCACGATCCTCCTGCTTGATCAGAATCTGTAAGAAGGCCTTCTCAATATCTGCGGTGAAGGCAATCGCAGGACGTCGGAAGTTGATGATCAGCTGTAACAGGTCCGGATTGAGGCTTGGGCCCGTAGACAATGCATCGTTGAGGGACAGACAGCCCGGTGCCTTTGCAGACGCATCAAACACGATGCGTATCTTAGTCGTAGAACTGTCAGGTCTAAAAACAGCACGATGAGGCAAGTAGTAAACTCGTTTCCAAGTGTTATCCACCTCGCCTGCTGGCACTTTTTCAGCAAAACCTTCTTTCAGGTAGCTACGGATCGCTGAGTCGTACTGCGTCAGTCTTTCGGTGTTGCCTTTTAAACGCCGAACCAACTTGTCTAGACGCTGTAGCGCAACGGCTTCGTTGTTCTCTAGGGGTCGATTTAGGGGCTTCCACGGGAGGTTTGCCTCATAACGGCCCATGACCAGAGCTAGGGAGGAAGTGAAATCTTCTCTTACTTGTTCTTCCTCTTTTCCGCGCGGAGAGTCGTTCACGGAGATTCCGAGGCTCTCCAACTCCCAGAAGGCTCGAAGTTCGTTTGAGAGGCTCAAGGTCGGTTTTGCGACGCCGGTGTTCAAGACGGCCACAGTAGTGCAGGACAGCACAGAAGAAACCTGAGGAACTGGGCCCTGCAGTGTCCAGCCAAAGTCCGTCTTCAGCGCGACCAAGGATCCGTGTATCTTGCGGACTTCCCCGCTCACCATATTCCAATAGTGATCTGCCCCCACTAGGATTTCAATGCTCCGCTTGGAATTAAGGAAGGGTGAAAGGGTTACATCGGCTAATTCTAGCTCTCCCACGCCAGCAAGGTCAACCACGTTGCCGGGAAGCACCAACTGGTCAGAACAGATGTTTTCTATTTCAAGGGCTTCCAAGCAGTGTTCTTTGCGGCTGTATTGGCTTCGCAACCAAAGTCGCACTAGCCGACGTTTTCTCGTAGTTCCACCGGCTGTTCTGCCAAACGAATAGATGGTCACCTCCTCCTCGCCGATCACTTCCAACCTCAGCTCTCGTGAGAGCTGCTCGGTGACGAACGAACGTTGGCTGCCTCCGTCAAACAGACAGCGAGCAAGACGCTTCCGGTCTCGTCCGTCTACCCATACTTGAGCCGTTTGTAGCATTACGGCGTTCTTGTTGATGGCATTCAAAGACGCCAGGGAGTGGAGCTCGGTAGTGTCGGTCGCTCCTTGATAAGACGGAGGTGACGTACCACAAAGTGGAGTGATATGGCGTCGGCCACATTTGTCGCAGCGAAGGAACCGATTTCGACATTCTTTTGAGGTGTGTCCTCGCTTCGCGCATCTGTAACACCTCCCTTCGCTCCTTAGCCGTCTCTTCTTTTCTTCGATCGGAATCGCAGAGTTACATTGCGGCGCTTCATGTAATTCGGAGGAACAAAGAGGGCACCCGTCGTTTGAGGGTTTGGCACCAACTGCGAGGGAAGCAGCAGACCCCTTTCCTCGGAGATTGTCGCTTGATCGATCTCTGTCGCTGTGTATTTTCAGAGGTTGCGGTTGGTCCCGTGTACTGCCGTCGTGTACCTTCTCTCTGCTATCCAGCTCTACACGCATTGATCGCAGGACAGCCTCAAGATTTGAGCTTTCCGGTGTTTCATTACTAGTACTCTGACTCTTGTAGAAGTCCACGGCCCAGTCAGCGGGCAGGACGCAGAACAACGCAGCACACAACATTGCCCCGTAGCTGTCAGAGTCGATGCCCAGAGTCCTCAGCGAAGCGATGTTGCAATGAACGTGATCATGTAAACGACGGAGGGCTCCGACGTCACTCAGCGCCTTCACTTTTGGCAGGTTCAGCAGCTGCGTGAGGTGTTCTTGAACAAGGACGTCTTTCTTGCCAAATCTTTCTTTTAGAAGCTCCACGGCATAAGCGTAGCTGCTCTCCGTTGCTTGAATGCCGCTTACCGCCGCCGCCGCCTTGCCCGTCAGCACAGTCCGCAGGTATAGAAACTTCTCCACGCCGGAGAGCTCGATGTTGTCGTGGATCGCCTGTCGGAACTGCTCCCAGAAGGGAAGCCAATTCAACTTCTCTCCATCAAACCGTTGGAGTTCGAGCTTTGGAAGTTTAAGCTGTCCAGCTCGGCTCTGGGTTTGAGTGGTCGATCGTTCTGTGGTCTCGGTGACCCTGCTCTCGATAGATGACGATGTCCTTGTCTCTAGGCGTCGAAGACGTGTCCGCATTCGGGTGATCACACTTTGTGTCTCCCTGACGGCCTTGTATTCTTCGGCGAGGTTCTCGCTCTTTACGTGGACCTCGATGAGCGCATCTTGCTCCTTGAGTTCCCTTGCCAGGACATCCAGCTCGTCCGTTATTTCTGCGAGGCGTTCTTCGTGATGAGGCCTGAAATCCTCAATTGACACCGCCGCTTGGATCTCCTCGCTTAGATGTTCAATTTCGGCTCGCGTCACCAACCTTTTCGTCTGGAGCCGCTCCATGTTCGCTGTTCGCTGATCTCGTATTGTCGCTGGAGTCCCGGGTTTCGGCACCAAAATATTCGATAATTTAGATCACTCCGGTTTACAAAGAGATTTATACAACATATTTACAGTCTAGACATATGGAGGGCTCTTGAAGGTTGATGTTGCATCGATCAACGGTTCCAACTAGCTCTGCTCGCGCCGGTGGCCTCACTTCATCTTCTTCTTAGCACATGCTCCTTGGTCTTCTTTTCCTGTGAGATGTGTAGTCGGGCGCGTATCCACATTTAGCGAGAAATGTCCTCAATATTTAATAGATGACGTCATCATCATTGATGACGTCATCATCACTGATGACGTCACCGGCATCCACATCGTCATCGTCATCATCACTGATGACGTCACCGGCATCCACATCGTCATCGTCATCATCACTGATGACGTCACCGGCATCCACATCGTCATCGTCATCAGTGTCGATGACGTCATCGGGGGGTCACGCGACATCGGCGGAGGTCACGTGACCTCGGTGGGTCACGTGACCTTGAGGAGGGGGTCACGTGTCCTCAGGGGAGTCACGTGACCTCGAGGAGGGGGTCACGTGACCTCAGGGGAGTCACGTGACCTCGAGGAGGGGGTCACGTGACCTCAGGGAGTCACGTGACTTCAGGGGGTCACGTGACCTCGAGGGGGTCACGTGCCCCCCACGAAGTCACGTGACCCCGGTGGGGGGCTCGCGCGGTGCATTATGGGACATTTCCCATGATGCACCGCGCGGTTACGCCGACGCCGACGCCGACGCCGACGCCGCTCAAGCCGGAAACGGGCCCCTAAGAGCTGCGCTCTAAAAAGAATGGGTTGTTTCGAGATACACCCGATCTGTTCAGTGGTCAAACCACACTGATTCCGGTTTCGGTAGGGAAGGGCATTGCGACCGCTGCTCAGTGACTGCGGCCGGCGTGGATCTATGCAAGGAGGATCAGCGAAGTTGCCCGACCAAGGTCATTGCTGTGGTCAGTATTTCACTATTGGCCAATCTCTCATTATGGCATCGTTAGTAGGCTATTTTATCGACAGAAATAAGAGTAATTCAGACTGTGAGCTTTGGCGGCGTTGGTTTAAAGGGACCATGAAGGCAATTTAATTTTTTTTTTTCAAAAAAGGTGTTTCCGCAAGCATTGTCGTCTTGGCATGTCACACAATTTTTCCTAGAAGGATGTGACTGTTATTTCTGTACCTGCAAATAAATTTGCGAAACCGAAACAAACATTCAGATTTCTTCCCTTTTTCGCCTCTGGAAAGAGAAGTGACGTCAGGGAGCACTGTCGGCATCGGTAGGATTTAGTGCACACTCGGTGTGGTTCCCGTGGTTCGCTCTAGTGCACGGAGGTCTGTGAAGAAAAGCTGAAAGAAATAGACGACAACGCCGCGCTCGCAAACGAGTTTGATCTCCCGTTCAGCGACCTCACGCCGACTGAACGGGAGATGCTGCTAAGGACGCAGAACTCTGGATTGGCGACCGATGCAGCAATGCTGCGCATTGCTGCGTCGGTCGGCAGTTTACGCAAACTAACGTCGCCCGATCGACCGCACGTCTTTAGCCAACCTTTCGCGCAACCTACTGTTGCACATAAACGCGGCATGATTGGTGAGACACCAGTTCGCAAAGCGAACACGAGACGACGCACGAAACCAAAGCCAAAAGTCCGCCGCCGCCGGCGCTCGAACCTCTTTTTCTTTTTTTTTTTGTCCATGGTCGCTCGATGCTTGTTACGCGCTCGAGTTAGCAGTGCGGGATGCGTTCAACCAGTGACAAACGGAGGGATCGCTTCAGATTACGCTTTTATACACGGTATGAAACCTATTAATTCCCAACTACAACTTCAAAATATTATCCAACGTTCAAATAAACTTTTTTCATCACATCTCACCACCGAAATCGAAACCAAGAGCGCGCCTATCATTGGAACCAATCGCCAAACGAGGAGCCCGTTGTCGTCACGCATCGGCGCACTTTAGTTCACCTTTCTGCCGCCGCCTCGGTGGGGTCTCAGGCATCGTTCCCCGCGCTATTATTACCGCGCCTGTTTGCTCGATTGGTGCGGCACCCAAACTTCTGTTCGGGCTAGAACTTGGTCAACAGTACCTGAGACGTGACTGACATCCATTTCAATCGTCGAATAAAACTTCGAAACTGCCTTCATGGTCCCTTTAAGAACGCGAGAACCACAAGTTTCCACCGTGCTTTTTCACGTCACCGAACTTGTGGTGCGCAAATGATAATTTCGCGACGTCACGGGTCTGAATCCTTACAGGAACGCTTAAGGTCTGTTCACACGATGCATCTTTTAGGCGCGCAACAGTTTCGCGACGCTCAAGTTTCGCGAAATGTGCTCGTTCACACGTACCGCTTCACGTGCAACAACGATGACGTTTAGACTCACGAAAATAGTTCGGGTGTTGACCATAAAGTGGCGCTTCAGTTGAAAGCCAACATCATCATCATCACCATTAGCCATTCATCGTCGTGTTCTCCATCTCCCGCCAGATTCTAAGACTCAAAACGCAGGCGAGCTGGTGAACAATCATAATTAAGAAATAAAACCTTAAGACAAGGAAACAAAAAGGGACGTACGCATCACTGTCTTAAAACCATGCACAGCATACAGCTGTCATTTACTTCCATTTACTTAATTTACTCTTAAATTGTCATTTACTAGTTGTTGAATTGTCATTTACTGCCATTTACTTTATTTACTGTTGAATATGCATAATTTGGACGGAGGTTGACAAAGAAGAAGACTGTTGTGGAAGTAAATGAGAGCTGTACGCTGTGCTGGTTTCGAGATGGTACTGTGTACGTCCCTTTTTGTTTCCTTGTCTCAAGGTTTTATTTCTTAATTATGACTAAAAATAGACGTGAATTATCATCATCACAAATTACGTCTTCTTCGATCGCTGGATTTTTTTCCGATATGCTACTCACTTTTCCTTCAGTGGTGCTTGACGTGCTTGCGGAAGCGCCGGCAGTATCCATCGTTCGTGGTTTCGGTTCTTTTCGGATTTGGCTCGGCTACAACACCGGCAGTGAAGTGGTCTTCTCGAACAGCTCGCTCCTCCCTCAAAGGCCACGTGAGAGCGTTTCTGAGCGGCCATTGGCGGCGCCCTCAGAGTGATTGACAGGACTCGGCAAGGTTTCAGCAAAAGCTCGCTCCAGAAGCGAGGTGTGCGCGCAACTTTTTTTAGATGCGCGCGTCCTTTTCGGACTCGTTCAGACGGCGCAACCATTTCGCGAAACTACGTTTCGCAACACTAGATGCGCGAGAAAAATGCATCGTGTGAACGGGCCTTTAGAGCCACTAAATGAGCTACGCTTAGAGTATCGGCACTCTGTTCTCCGATATTGTTGTGCACGCCGCCATCTTGGTGCTTGTGCAGAGCAGACGCAACTGTGATTTAAAAGTGCGACTTCTTCAGCATTAGATTCGGTGTTAGGAAGCTCATGTAATATGGCTTTGCTCTGTCGCGAACTGTTTAAACATTTGTGGATCTGTTATGGTGTCAGAAGATTACCTCATCAAGATATTGCTACAGCTTCATGTATATAATAAATAAAGTAAAAGAATAAGAAGAAAAAAACGCAACTGGTCGAAAACGCAATTACAGTGTTCTGTAGTGGCAAGAATGGCGGCTGCCGCGTAAAGATTTTGCGCGTAGACGACACCGTAGCGCTGCTGTTTTGAGCCCTAGGAACGTGCCCCCGTCAGCTTCGTCGTCTGCGGTGCTCGGCGTGTACTAGTGTGGTTCGACTGGAGCTTTTCGCGACGCAGAACAGTTGCTAATGTGAAAAGTTGTAGGTTTTCCTTTGGACTAATGCCTCTAGAGTGTGTGCTATCCTCTACTTTCATTATTCGCGTGTTTCTGATGGAGATCATTTGATTAATATTGACTCCTCCTCCCCTCCCCCCCCCCTTCCCAGTACCGACAGTACCGACAGTATCACTAGAGCTGCACGCTTAATAGCTGCGAGAGAAACCACGCGATACTGATATAACAAGGAAAAATATACAAATAAATCTGAATAAATCTCTCACTTTTTTAATAGTGAGAGGAAAAATAAACTGGTGTATTGTTTTTTGTCATCGTGTTGCTGATGCGGGGAGAAGCGTTGTGTAAGGTGCAAGGCCGAGCGCATTTGGGAACGGCGAAGGTGCCACTGCAACTGGTGAACATATAGCAAATTGTCTTTTGTGGAAGGCAGTCTATGAAGAAAAAACACCTCGATTGGTAGTACATGAAGCATTAAAATACAATATGAACACAAACTTCAACAACCCCTAATATAAAAAAAAAGTTATTCTCAACTCACTGCTTATGACTTCTCAAAAGTGGTAATACACTTCATCGACATACACAGCAAGCACATGACAGATATCCAGCAACATACTCGCAAAAAGTCTACAAAATAGTCATAATATATTGCGGCATACAATCCTAACCTCTTCGCTGTTGACGATGAGCACATAGTCCCCAAGGATAAGGCGCGGTTCAAAATGTCTCTCGCGCACCGCTGATGTTTCGGCGAGGCGTTTATCTTCTCGATTAAGATTTTTTCCCCTCTGTAGTCTGCGCGACTCCTCTTTTGGCGCACGAAACAGCGACGGCTTACGATCGCTGGTGCTCCGGCTACCCTTGTTGACCGGGTAGCCCGACTTGCATCCCGGCGCGAAGCAGTGTGCGTGTCCATCTTTTGCCTTGCATTTATGACCGAGACGGCAACTGAACGGGGAAGACTCCTTACCACTACACCACAAAGAAAAGTGCTACGGTGCTACGTTCGGGAGAAGCGTACCGCCTCAGCTTCGTCGTCTTCTTCGCTCATCGCACATCTGCCATCTGCCACAAATTCTCTTAGGGCTCGGAACTTCAGCGCCACTTGCGGCATCTACGTTGACCGTCTTCACGCGGCCCATTGTAAGCGGGCGTCGCTCTTGCCACTACATCCACTAGAACACTGTAACGCAATTGAACTGGGGAGGAAGAAGAAATGCAGAGGAGGAGAGAGAGTTGCCGGAAGTCACGCGGCTGCACCCCAAACGTTTTCTTTTTCTTTTTTATTTTCCTTCGTTTTTCTGGTTGTGCGACGACACAGTATTTTCGCCTTGTGCCTTGTGAACTGATTACTCAAATGTGTGTAGTCTTTTTTTTTCACGTTATATTTTGAATTTTGACCGGTGTAAAAACTTAACTTAGCACGTGAAACTGCTAATTTCGACATGTTTGATACATTTATATACATACATTGTGAACTTGACACTCCAAATTTGAACCAGCCTAAAGTTTTTTTTTTTTTTTTTTTTTTTTTTGTCGTGCACGTGAGACTGCGAATTTCGGCCTGCTTAATTTTTAATACCGAGTCAGGTCCCACAAGCCCCTGGTGGCTTTGACCTGACTCGATAATCAACTTGGTGATGGCTACATTTGTGAACAATTTAGTAATAATAATAATAATAATATTATTATTATTATTATTACTAATATTATTATTATTATTACTAATATTATTATTATTAAACAAACTATAGATCCAAAAACCCTATTCCCTACTGTGTCGCACTCATCAAAACATACCACTAGAAGAAGAGAAACACGAGACGACGGGAAGCAAGCCGCGTCGCACGGTTGCACACTGTCATCCATGGGGGATGCCAGACACCATGTTCGTGAATCAAGCCAGCAGCTACCATGGTAGGGCTGGCTTTTCTAATGGGGAGAGATGTTTTAAATTGAGCCCAAAGGGACAATGCCGCTAGACACGTGCATCAGATGTATTTTGACAACCAAGCGTTTGTTTGTCTCCACGGTGTCTCTCGCCTGGTGACCGACACGAGGTGCCTAAGAAGCTTCTTACCTTTGCTCGCTGGCAGTCTCCTGGTAAGATACGCCCGAACGTACGCGCTCCTGTTGCCCTATCGGAGAACTATTCCGGTCTTGGCGGTTCCGTTCATCTTGCTAACCTTCTACTACACGTCGCACCTTGAAAAGAACGCGATCAGCAAGCGCCCACAGCTCATCGCTTTCACGCCTGCACAATTCGCCACTAAAATCGACGGCGAATCTAGGGCCATTGAGAAGCACTTTTGGACGATCTCTCGGAGACCCGCACGACGTGGCAACTACCGGCGAATACGTCGCACAGCAGCCGCCATCTTGAAAGCCAACAGGGATCTGCCCGGCATCTCCAACAAGACCTGGGCTTTCGCCATCGTTCGTTCGCCGACTCCGAGCGCCTTCGTTTTGCCAAACTGTCGGACGTACATCTTCGATGGCATCTTCAAGTTGTGCAGTAACGATGACTGTTTATCCTTCGTGTTGGCCCACGAGATGGCACACTGCCTCTTGGAGCACACGCTCGAAAAAGAGTCACTCGCGTTCGTACTCGACAAATTGACCAGCCTCGTTTGGCTCTCGGCACTGACCCTCGTTAAGGGGGACTTGCAGGCGGTCCTGGTACCCTGGTTGGTGACTCGCGTTTTTCATTACACCGTATTTCTCCCGCAGAGCCGATTCATGGAACTCGAGTCGGACAGGCTGGGGCTTCAAATGATGGCCAAGGCGTGCTTCGATTTCCGCTACAGTATTGTTTACTTCGACAAGTCTGCGGCTTTTAGTAGGAAGATGGCCATGAAAAAGTCGCAGACACTGTTCTCGACACACCCGACAAGGAAGGAACGCGTTCGTCGGCTTTACACACAGATGAGCACTGCAATGGAACTCCGAAAGATGCGTCGCTGTTCGAGGCTGGCTCCCCTGCAGCCTCGTGTTAGGCACAGGATAAGATCATTTCTTGCTGACATGAAATAGTGTTTACGTGTAACTGGGACTGGTCCTAGCGCTCTGTGTAGTTTTTGCGCTGCAGTTTTGAGCGGATCAGTTTGTTCGCTGGGAAAAAAGACTGGCGTTGTCAATGTCTGACTGGTATTCGATGTCGTCGTAGAGACTCGGATTGTGGGGGCACTCTAGTTGTTGGTAGAAGGAGGCCACGATGCAAACAAAATAGATCTGGAAGAAAAAAAATAGACAGACAGTTAAAAGTTGCAAGAAACTGCAGTGCGAGCATTTAACTGACAGATGACGAGTGAAAGTAAATTTTGAAAGGATACTGTACCTGCGAGAGCGCCGCCAAGATGAACAGCGTGCCGAAAGTGAGGGCTTCACTTTTCTGTAAGGAGAAAGACAAGGAAACCTATTACGCTTCCGAACAGACTCGTGTGCTTGCAACTCACAAATACCTAGGACAATTTTCTTTACAAAAAATGGGCGTACGAAGAATATTGATTGAATTATCACTAATTAATGCAAAAGTTGGGCCGACCGTAGCGAGCAATTCTCATGAGAATTTACTATTACGACGTATTCGGAAGTATACGAAGTGCAATATGTGAGCATGATGTTTTGCTTGCTCATTGTCCCTGTGCACGTGGCATTTTTTTAGGTCTAATCGTATTTATGAGTTTCGCAATTTTTTGAGATCCTTCTATTTCTCGTGCTGATTGACTGTCTGTGCTCTACAGGAATGGGAGCTCAGATTATTTTTTTAGTGTAGGTTGTGTGAGATACCACAACACAAAAACGTCGGAAAATGCAGCTTGGACAAAAATAAGCTTCACAAATGCACTATGTGCTAGTAGTTTATGCTGTGCACGGCAAAATATTTTGCATGACCTTCGAATTTTCAATGAGCTTGTAAAGAAAATATATGCTTCTGTTAGTGTGTCGGTAACTCTCTTCGGATATGTATTACTAGAGCCACTAAATGAGATACGCTTAGAGTATAGGCTCTCTGTTCCCTGATAATGTTGCGGCCGTCGCCATCTTGGTGCTTAGTACAAAGCAGACGCAACTACCGATGGTCAGGATTCAAAAGTGCGACTTCCTCAGCATTAGATTCGCTGTTAGGAAGCTAATGTAGTATTGGTTTGCTCTGTCGTGAACTGTTCAACCATTTCTAGAGAACATAAAAGCGTTTCCAATAATTTCAAATAAAGCTTGAGATAACTGACAACCATATGATTTTAAGCACCAAGGCGGGTAAGTGTCGTTACTCTGATGCGTAGCTTATTTAGTGGCTTTACCCGATAAAATGCTCAACCAGAGGCCGTCATCTGGACACTCGGCGGAAAATTCGGTGCGAAATCCGGCGTCCTTGATCATATCCTGCGCCTATAGTCAAGCGCGTCGCCGGCCAATCACGGCCGCGAGATTTCTTGCCGACTTTTTCACCAAGTGTCCAGATTCGGGCCCCAGATCGAAACGGATAGGGGGGGGGGGGGGGGGGGGGATTGAACTCAAGATCCTTGTGTGCTGCAGCGCAGCTTTTGCTCCCCACCAATCGCACGCTGGACTGTGATTTTGTATACATTGGAACGGTGCATTAGCGCCAAGATGTTTTGGTGGCGCCTTGTTATGGCTCCAATCTATAACGTAAGGAATTTGCCTCGCCGTAAATGTCACACGTTATGATCCTGGTTACTTATCAGTTGCGAGGAACAAGTTCGATGGTATTTAGAAAACAAATACTGTGAAAGCTTGGGCTCATCACATTGTTAAACTAGCGCCGTGTAAGATGACAGTTTGATGTTGCTCTTCCCGCTAAAGACGTCACCGCGAGCGTTAAGCGAATCATAGAGAGTCGACCACGGCGAAGTGACCAAAACTTTTCTCTTCCCCTTTTTGTTTCGAACTTTGAAGGGGAAGCAATGGAAAAACAGACCTCTTCCTCGGAGCAAGTCGCTGAACGGGAACGACCAAAAGATGGAGTACGCACGGCAGGCTCTTTGAACGTTATGAGTTGATACTGTTAGAACACCTTGTTCAAATCATGAATCTTTCCTTGTGAGGAAAGACCTGGCACGTTATCCGAGCGCACAGCGAGTCTATTCTAGGCACGGCGGGCAGACGGCTCGTAGGTTATTATCCAAGATTCGTTATTAGTACTCAAAACGGAAGAAATAAAAATGCGAGGGTCTTTCACAGACAACCACACTCAGAACTAAAGACCCACTATGAAAGAGTGTGGTGGTATGCGAAAGTCCTCCGTGTTTTCATTTTTACTATTTTAGGTATCCATAATCACAACACGTCCGCCTTAATAACCAGTCGTCATTATGTCTCGCGATATTAAACGAAAACGCGCAGGCTCATCAAACACTACTGAACCTACTCCGAGACCATCCGTCGAACGTTTGATGTTGCTAGGCGATGCTGCTTTAATGGTTTACTTACGTCCAGTTGGCGATGTTGCGAGACGATGCCAAGGCAGACGATCTGCACGAACAGTACTCCCACAGTGTTCCACATCAGCCAGGGCAGCATCAGGTAACGGTTAAGCTAAAACCATTCAGCGTAAAAAAATACATTATTTAAGTCTTTTTTTTGTATTACAACCAACTTTCACACTGACAAGCATCGGAATTTGATGCTTCCTTGAAACAAGCTTGTTTTCTTATTTTTGTGTTTTAAGAAGAGGAAAAACGGTATTGGCCTTACCTTCCTCACGAATTTAGTGAGCACGTGTGTGTAATATTCTATTCATTATTTTAGCTTAACATAATTACTACTTATTGTCTCACTATTCCTTCTTCACATGTTACTAAAGCTCCAACCACATGGGACGTTCTTCACGCGCTTCTCCCGCGTCAGCGTCACCTCGAGTCAGCGGCGCGCCTCGCTCCCTGCTCTATATCTGCCCTGGCCAGATCTCGGCGTCAGCCGGCGCGTCGCTTGCCGACGCTGACGCGGGCGAAGCGCGTTAAAAAAAAACGCCCCATATAGTTGGGCCTTAAAGCCCGCTTTAAAAAAAAAAAAGAAAAGCGATGTTGGGATGTAACGGCGCGGCATAACTTATGAAAAGTCTTGCTGCCACTGCCATGACCTGCCAGAACCGAGTCGTGAAGGTACCCGATAAACCTCTTCCGTATACTTCCTGGGAATCACCACCCTGACGGGAGACTCATTACCCTCCACTTCATCGATCGCTGGGATGTAGCGAAGGCTGAAGGGAGACTCATTACCCTCCACTTCTTCGATCGTTGGGATGTAGCGAAGCAATAACTATAGTCACTAAGAGAAGTAGTCAAAACCATCAGTACATCTTTAAATAAATTATGACACGAATCAGCTAAAGTACCAGCCATTCGACCAATAGACCGAACTCACCAGCAGTTTCCTTACGCGGCCGCTGCCGCTATGCATTGTGGGAACAGTAGTCTTTCTGCGTGCGCGACAAACCCGCTGGGGGTCCGGGCGAGCATGGCACTAGACGGCATGAGCTGTTTTACGCACTGGCCACCCGCCTCCTCTGAACTACAGTTATGGCGGCGTCGCGCAAGCGTGGGACGCTCAGGAGATACGGTTGTCAGCATCCTACTAAATGTGACGTTACACTTTTTATATATATCTTTTTGTCCCCAACATTTTTTTTTGTTTAACATTTATTTGTATTTTATATTTTGTTACACGAGCATAACGGTTATGCGCAATTATATAGGGTGTCCCAAGTCACCAGGCTCGATCTAAAATGAACCGTAAAAATCGGCGCCTGCACGTAGCAATCTAAACATTTCGTCAAAGGTGTATTTCACAGGTCGGTTTTTTCTTGTAAAATTACAAAGTGTCGCTCCCTTTCTGTGAAACATAGGGCCAAAAAATTTGCCAGGATCAACGGCGGACGGTGACGCAGACGACCGACTTGAGTTTTGGGGTGTGTTTGACGCGCGTATTGATAGGTGGCGTCGGGAGCAGCGTTCGAAGGTGTAGCCGACCAGCGAAAGAAAGCAGTCGACACGCAGACGAAATCCGTTGGCAGCAAAGGCGCCGTCGTTATGCTAACGCGTTTTTTTCTCTTTAAGTTTGGCCTTTGTTGACGGCATTTATTTTTTAACCACAAGTACATTACATAAAGATTATGTTGAATTTTAATAAACCACGGTGGTCGCGATAAGAAGGTAGCGCCATCTATCAATACGAGCGTCAAACCCGCCCCGCTACCCGACTTGGTCGTCTGCGTCGCCGCCCGCCGTTGACCCTGGCAAGTTTCTTGGCCCTATTTTTTACAGAAAGAGAGCTACGCTTTTCAATTTTACAAGAAAAAACCGACCTGTGAAATACACCTTCGACGGAAAGCTACGTGGAGGCGTCGATTTTTACGATCCATTTTATATCAATCCTGGTGACTTGGTACACCCTATAAATCATCTCTCGAAGCACCATGCACATTTCATGTCAACAAACTTCTGCATCTCGATGCCGCGGAGGCTGTCGAAAAAAAACAAAAAAAACCCGAGGGTAAGATATATATATGTAAATATGGGCACTTCGCCCCTAGAAATTTGAAACTTTAATGCCCACCTTTGTTTCATGTGCATTCGTCACTTGAAGAGAATCGTGGTGTGCCATAGCGGATTTTTTTAGGCCCTTTTCACTCAGATCCCGGGGTTGAAAGGGTGTTACATAGTCGGCGCTGATGCCGACTCTGCAACACCAAAGGTTGGACTCCACGGATCGAATATGCTGCGAACAAACTGATCGCCACGCGCAGCGTCACATCAAAGTGGACGCCGCGCGCCACGCGAGTGTGCCGCTGGGCATAGTTTGTGGGTTGTTTGCCGCATATTCGATCAAGAGCCACTAACTACGTTACGCTAGATTTTCCGATGTTATTCTGAGGGCCACCAGTTTGATGCTCAGTGCAGAGCGGGCGCAATAGACCCCTCTCGAAAGTGCGCGCCTTCTAGGAGCTGCTACACCAGTTAACCGAGTACGCCATTGCTTGATCACGCACTCTGAGTACGTATTGGACACGA